TGTCATACAAACCAACCAGCCCAAAAGAAACCATTTCGAAAGGCTTTTCTTCATTTCTGTGACCTATGACCTGTCCAACTCAATTGAGAGAGAATTGTGTCCCCTTTTGGCGACTGACACATTTCTCATCCCCACAAAATCTGCCGTTTTAACAAGGGGGCCTGTTTGCGCTGTTGCCTGTGGAAAAAAAAGACAAGAAAAAGCGGCGCCAACATACCAATGACGCTGAGCGTCACGGCGCTTGCGTGCAGCGTTGCGGAGTCGCGGCGGACCGTGCATTCGTACAGGCCCTGCAGGCTCAGGCCCACGCCGACGACGGTCACCGAAAAGTCCCCGATGAGGAAACGGCCCGTGGTCCAAAAGAAGCCGTCTTTTGTCCGAGCGGTGGCATTCTTGAACGAGGCCACGGAGGAGCCGTTGCGCAGCCAGATGACTTCCAGCAGCGCCTCGTCCGCTTTGTCCAACTCGAGGCTGGCGTTGCAAGGGAGGCTGGCGTTCGTATTGGGGCCGGCTCGTATTTCGCCGCAGGACGCTAAGACAAAGGCCGTTTGGGGTCGAGGGAAGACAAGGAGAGACGAGTTCAGACTTTTCTGACGCGGACATGACGAAAGACGGCGGTTGCTGACCACATGGAAAGAACAACGTCATGTTCCAAACATCTTGGAGGGCGCGCTGCGTCAACACACGCCAAAAGCCCGGATTGCGCTCTTTCAGACATTCTTTCTTTTGATCCTGGCTTTGAAGTGGCTGCAATGAGTGCCCCGTTCTTGAGGGAATATAAAGCCATTCAGCCAACCCCTTTTCGCCGACGAGCTTAATTAGTAACCGGCGCAATAAATACCTGTCAGCAAACATAAAAGCGTGCCGTGGAAAAGTTTGCGCGTCCCCTGACCTCATCGTTTGCCAGCCACAAAGCGAGCGAGTGACAGCTGACGCTCTGGAGGCGAATGTTGTTTTAACTTTTAAAAGGCCGCGCCCGCGCGACGTGTGAGCGTCGGACGATCCGAGCGATCCTTCCGTTACTCCTCAAACATGGCGATATATAAATACATTTCGATATATTTAACCGCTGCCGGTGGTCGTTGACCATCAAAGTAAACATAAAACGAAAACAGCACGGCAAAGTCCATTGACGTGTCGTGCTCTCATATTCATGAAACTAAGTGTCAAGTGAGAGACATTTTGATTTCGGAAGAATCAAAATGCAGCTCAACATTCAGCATCAAGCACACGCAGCCACTTGCAAGATGATCCAAAGCGGCGCCGCAGCATCTCAACATGAAGTAGCCCAACGCCGAGTTTTCCGCAACTCGAAATAGCGCCAATGCGAGGTGTTCCACCTTCCTCTTTTGAGCCATTCATCATCCCAAACGCAAGTCAACCCTGATCAGGACATCAGCGCACCAAAGACTTATCACAGCATTTCTAGCAGGAAAAAAACACACACACACGCAGCCGAGTGCCAGAGACTTGGCGTCAAACATGCCTCCTGAACAGAAAAGGCCATCTTCCGATGTCAGACGCGACCTGCTCACTTGACTGGAGTCCAGCGGCGTAAAATCAAACGACAAGGCAGGCTTTTGCGCCAGGAGGACACAATACTCACCCTCGTTTATGAGGTGCAAGGAGAGCAGCAAGGCGAGGACTTTACACCGCATGGCCGGGCTTGTCTCCAGAACGGCGTCTTATCGCGGGGCCCTCTTGCGGTCTTATATAGGGAGTCGCTAGGCGACAGGGGGTGGGCTCCACTTGCCGCACGGGAAAGAACAAGTACGTATAGTTCCCCCCCGGGCAGCAAAACGGGAGCCCTGTGATATGCGGAGGCGTCCCCGGTGGAGTGAGAAGGAGCGCGATGAGCTGGGAGGGACGAGTCAAGCGGCCAAAAGCGCTCGCTTAAAATTCAAAGTGGCCTCGGGCCAAGGTTGCGGGCCTACTTGCCATTGGCGCGGCGTTGCCGGCAACAAAAGGGAATCCCGCCGAGCTTCAGTGGCCGATCGCTCTTGTGAGACTGCAACTCCTTCCGACCTGCTGTTACCGTTCACGTTCTTTGCTCGGGCCCTCGACGGAGGGCTCAGAAACCATTTTCGGAACATCAAATGCAGTGTCAGGAAGTTTGCATTTTGGGTGAGAGCGCTTTTAGCTTGCGTTAGTTTGTTAGTTGCATGAACTATTCGGGCCTTGTGCCTGGCATGAGAACGTGTGGAAAATGTTGATTGCGCCTCACCGCCGCTCAGCTTTACTTTGAGCACTTCAAACAAACAACAACCAAAAGTGAAACGACACGCTAAGCACCAAAAACAAACCATCTTTCCAAAACTAATTAGTCTGAGCACATGGTTAGTTTTTTTTTTTCTCCCCCAGACGGGGCCGCGTGGCGGCTCACTTGTTCCACTTGACTTTGAAGGGCCGCACCTCGAAGCACTTTCAGGGGGCACTTGTGTTTCGCGCGATTGTTTGCGCTGGCTATCTTGCGCTGGCATGCCAAGCTGCCACGCAATCTCTTTGTTTTTCCTCCTTCTTTCTTTGTCTGAAAATTCTTTGCTCCTTTCATCAAGCCGAAGGCTCGATCATCAAGTCAACATGCGGAGCGACCGGTGGAGCGGAACTGATTCCCGCTAACTGCATTTTCACACTTGTCAAGATCTTGATGGGACACGTATTTACAGTCAACAGGGGATGGAAAGAAAGAAAGCCCAATCGTAAATCTTAAGAAATATGAACAAATACCGAACGAAAAAACAGGCAATATGCAAATCTGCAAGTGCCGAACCTCAAGGAGACGGGCTTCAAACTAATAGGCCAATTGAATTGCCGACATGAGTCATTTGAACCAAAAAGATGTCCCAAACTCTGATCCTTGAGCCTTTTTTCAGACAGTCAGCCAAGAGCTTTTCGCTGTTAGCGCCACCCGTGAAAGAGCCCGAGTAAAAGATGTCAAAGTATGACAAACACACACGCACGCACGCAGGCCCATGGCAAAAACGAAAGTCATTTCGCAATACGTGACGGATGCATGACAACTTTGAGTGAGCCAAACTGAATGCGGGCATGTGTGCATTGGAAAAGGCGGTTGAGTGTTTTACAGAGAAAACCAAGATAAGATTGTCTTACGAGGCCCGATAAAAGGTGTCCGTACAAAAGGTAATGTTGCTGACGTTTGATTGACACATCATTCCAAGGTCTTTAGCTAAAGACGCTGTCAAGTGAAGCCAGAGATTTGTTTTTTTTGTTTTTTAAATACATTGCTCAATAGTGATCAGTCACCAATCATGTCACAAGGTTGTAAACAGCTAACTACATCTCAATGTGAAGCATTCAAAATTTTTGAATAAATATATCTTTTTTTTCCAATTGATTCAAACTTCGAATACAGATTGAACGATTTTCGCTCTCGAAGACGTACATAAGTGTACCTAATCTTGTGGCTAGACGTTGGAGGCGGGGCAAGGCCAAGGTGGCAAATATCACCTTGATCCGAAATTGGAGTTCCAAACGCCAGCCAACACAACGGACGGCAGCAGCTCAGCCAACAAACGCAATTCAAAAGAATTCCAAACTGTCCACCCCCCCCCCCCCAGTCGCCTTCCATTCATTTTCCTGTTGTCGATCAGCGTCTCATCATTTCATCTTTCCTGACGCCAGGCCTGTGGCCTCGCCGCAATCATGATGACTCGTGCATGTACTGAAGTGAACTTAGCTCATCGCTATTTCTACTTCTCACCAGAGTGTCTTTGTTCGAAAGAAAGCGCGGATATTATTTTTTTTTTCCCCGCCTCCGCTGACAACGTGGAGAGTACAGAGAACCGCAATGATGACAAAGCACATTGTCGCGATGTGATTGTGAGACAGGTTGACAGACAGTCGAGACCGGTCGGAGCGCATTTCAAAGTTGGGCCGTGGACATCCTATTACAAGAGTCCTGAAACGCATGGCTGGAAAACACGACCTGTTCAGATGATATGCCATTGTGCTCGGCGCAAATCTTGCACGGCGTGACAACACACGTTGGGGTAACACAAACCGGTTTCGCAGGAGTGGCTATTGTATAAATAGACGCGGGAGGGCGAGCAAATAAAACAAGCAAGCGAGCTTCCTCCTGCACTTGAACAACACGATGCTGCGAACAACGCGGGCTCTCCTCTGGGCTCTGCTACTCACAAGTCAAGGTGGGCGCACGCGCGACCGGATGGGGGCTCTCGTTTTCCGTTCCGAAAGGTCATTGGGAGGAAGCCGCCGCTCGAAATGGTCCAAGATCAGCTCGCCCGGGAAATATTGGATGACTCTTTGAAAAATGATTCGGCGCAGGGATCGCACACCGTGTCCCGAAATTCAAAGGGGCGCGAAGATGCCGCTTGACCGGAAATTTGTATTCATTCTTCATTTTCAAAAGAAAAAAAAAAAAAGAAAAGAAAAAAAGAATCTGCTCTGATTTCATGGGTCAACTTTTCCTTGAAGCGTGGATGTGCTCTAATTTTGTCCAAAATTCAGGGTCCACGTTCAATTTCTTTTTTGGGGGCGAGGGCGGGGGGCAAAATAAAGCGACATCATTTGTTTTCAAGAATGAGGAGAACGGTTGGTGCCTGTTAAGGTTTTTTTTTTTCTTTTCCTGGTCTTCCCTGTTGTTTTCCTTTCGAGTCTAAAGATCTCACGGGCACGAAACAGCGAACCGCCAGGCTTCCCGTTCGGTCTCCCTCTGTTGGTCGTTTCCTTGTCATTTTTGTTTCAATTCCTTTGGTAGCACCGCGAGTCGACTTCAAATTCAGCTCGGAAGCAGAAGAAAAACCGACAAGCCGTCCAATATCAAATTAACGCCGTCAAACGTGCCCCGAAGCCCTGAAAAGTGAATCGTGCCACTGACTCACTTTGTTGTTCTCTTTCCAATAGGTGGCTCAAAAGCTCAGGGTAGGTTGCGCATTGCGCTCGGTCCCCCCTCCCCACAAGTTCTGGCCATCGCCGAATCCCAGAGCCACCAATGCTTTTTTTGTTCCCCCCCCCGCTGCCCTAGAGTGCGGAACGGCGCCGCTCAACCCGAGGATCGTGGGAGGCGACGATGCCCCGGCGGGCTCGTGGCCCTGGCAGGTCAGCTTGCACGTCAACGGGAATCACACTTGCGGAGGGAGCGTGATCAGCGAGGAATGGGTGCTCACCGCGGCCCACTGCATTTCCACGTAAGGTCACCCCCCCAGCGGAGCCGAGTCACAGGTGGCTGGCTGGCAAAAGCGCTCGCGCGGGCCCTCTCCGGAATGAGCTCGAGTTCAAGTCAAGTCATGACTGACATCATTTCATATTCCATCCATTTAAATTCTTTGTTGCACGAGACTTCATCCTACGAGCGTTCGCACACCAGCAGGCCCGGCGGCTGAGCTCACACTGACATTTGCAAGCTCCGATGTCGTTTGCAGTCGCCGGCAGAGGGCGCCACCCTGAGAGGAGTCCAAGCGGGTGGCTTCGGCTGCTCCTTTCAGATTCCACAAATGCAATGTTCCTCAGAAGACGACTGGGTGCACATAGAACAGAAACGTGTGATGACATAGAATGCCCGCGACATTCGTACTTCCACTTTTGGGGCTATTTTGATGCTAAAAGAAGCCGACTGGGCGCCGAAATCCCCCAAAAGCGGGACAAGGCACAATGAATGACAAATTGACCCTTTTTTCTCCCCCCCTTCTCAAACGTAGCACGGACCTTCGACTTTGGCGCCTGTTCTTTGGAAAACAGAATCAAAGTACCACGGGGCCGAACGAGGTCAGCCGAACGTTGGCCCGAATCATCATTCACCCCGACTACAACGATCAAAACTTTCAAAATGACATTGCGCTGATGAGGCTGAGCAGCCCCGTCACGTACAGCGACTTCATCAGGCCCATCTGCATGGCGAGCAACTCCAGCCAGTTCCACAACGGCACCAGGTGCTGGGGCACCGGATGGGGCAGACTGAGCAGTGACGGCGAGTATTACCATCACACTTTTCTTCAACATTCACGCGCATTGACCGGAATCGCTCACGAGAGTTCAAAAAGTCAGCGAGCAAAAAAATCGATCCAAAAACAACCGTCTTGGGAGCACTTTTTCAGAAACGGAAAAAGGCTCCCACCCCCACCCTTTCTCTCCAGGACATGTGTGCACTCACAGCCAACAATAAGGCGCTCTAAAGCAGTCCCCCAAGGCTGGGGGTGCGGGGGGGCTTTATTTATTGAGAGGACGCTGGAGCAATGACACCAACAAAAATGTACTAATCCCTCCCTTTGTTGATTTGCCCTATTACAATGCACATCAATAATGAAGGCCTAACATGAAGATGATCAAATGAATTTGCAGCCGTTGCTTCCTGTCGGGGTACAAAGCAGGATTGAAGATTTGCCATTAAATAATACTCAGCAAAAGCGAGTACGAGGTGAAAGACTTGCTCTTTTTAGGCCCGTTCTTTCAAATTGAGTGTCCCAAAAAATAGCATGCCGCCATCTGGTGCTCGACGGTGGAATTGCTTTGAAACCAAATCAAGGCGAGAGGCTCTGGAGCAAAAGAGCGTTCCGATAGCGGTGTTGGGTATTGCCGTCCCGTCGATGGTTGAAATGACTTTTCTTTTCTCCCGCAGAGCCGCTCGTGGCCGGGAGCACTTTTTCAGAAACGGAAAAAGGCTCCCACCCCCACCCTTTCTCTCCAGGACATGTGTGCACTCACAGCCAACAATAAGGCGCTCTAAAGCAGTCACCCAAGCTCGGGGGTGCAGGGGGGCTTTATTGAGAGGACGCCGGTGCAATGACACCAACAAAAATGTACTAATCCCTCCCTTTGTTGATTTGCCCTATTACAATGCACATCAATAATGAAGGCCTAACATGAAGATGATCAAATGAATTTGCAGCCGTTGCTTCCTGTCGGGGTACAAAGCAGGACTGAAGAAGATTTGCCATTCAATAATCCTCAGCAAAAGCGAGTACAAAGTCTAAGACTTGCTCTTTTTAGGCCTGCTCTTTCAAATCGAGTGTCCAAAAAAAACAGCATGATGCCGCCATCTGGTGCTCGACAGTGGAATTGCTTTGAAACCAAATCAAGGCGAGGCTCTGGAGCAAAAGAGCGTTCCGATAGCGGTGTTGGGTATTGCCGTCCCGTCGATGGTTGAAATGACTTTTCTTTTCTCCCGCAGAGCCGCTCGTGGCCTTTGAAAGGCTGCAAGAGGTTGAAATTCCCATCATTGGAAACCGGCAGTGCAGCTGCGTCTACACCCTGGTGGAAAACGTACAAGTCACCGACAATATGATCTGCGCAGGGGAGCTGGACAGAGGAATCTGCCAGGTTTCTGTCTTATGATGGGGCGTGCTCGGACTGGTTTGATCGCTCGCTCTCAGCGTCACCTGCAAAATGTGTTTTGTTTGCAGGGCGACTCGGGCGGACCCGTGCAGTGCAAGCAAGGCTCGGTGTGGATCCAGGCGGGTCTGGCCAGTTTCGGCATCCCCTGCGCCACGGGGCTTTTCCCTGAGGTCTTCGCTCGCGTGTCCTTTTACCAAGACTGGATTACGGCGCAAGTGGCGGGGGCCGCCATTAGTTTTGTCACCTACACCGACACCGGCGTGGACCAAGACGCCAGCTTTGTGTGCCCGCTCGATACAGGTAGCTCCTCGGCCGCTGCGACTCTTTCCAGCTTCGGCGTCTTGCCCTTGCTGCTGGCCATTTGGATCTAACCGCATCGGATGGCGGCGAATGGATAGCTGAATTTTTTTTTTTTTCCCCTTGCTGCTGACCATTTGGATCTAACTGCATCGGATGGCGGCGAATGGATAGCTGCATTTATTTTTTTTTTCGTTGTCTTGAAATGTGGATTTTTGAATCGCATCCCATGACATTTCTTTCCATGTGCTTTGCGTCCAGTGATTGAGCTTTGCCATTGTGACAACAGTGTGCGGGCGCCTCACCTTCCTGTTTTACATTTCTGATTTTATCATGAGTATGGAATGCATCAAATGTGACTCCTTGCGCAAAAGCCACAATTGGACTCTGCAATTTTGATTTGATTTGATTCACGGGCTTGAAATAAAGAACGGGTGATTTATCGATGAAGTCAACGTCCATTTGCTCAATAACTTGGAATTATGACGCTGAAAACGAGGGATGGCCGTGTAGCCAGGTTCATACTGTGCCCCCACCAATTATGTAACCCCCCACTCTGCAATTTTGATTTGATTTGATTTAACGGGCTTGAAATAAACAATGGGTGATTCATCGATGAAGTCGACGTCCATTTGCCCAATGATGGGAAATGACTTGGAATTATTACGCTGAAAACAAGGGATGGCCGTGTAGCCGGGTTCATACTGTGCCCCCACCAATTATGTAACCCCCCAAAAATATAATCACCCTGACACTTGATTTTGAAATGAATAAATACACGTCACGTCAAGCATTTCTTCAAGAAGGATGTCAAACAGGAGAGAAGGGTCAACGCTTTATTCCACTGAACCGCTATCAAGGACATGACTGCGCTTGATGGAATCGATCCGATGAAAAGTAGGGCAACTCGTGGAGGGGGGGAGAAACGGTGTGGAAATATTCACCTGAGAAAAGGTGTCGAATCATCGGCGTACGGTCGAGGGAATGGAGGCAAATGGAGAGGAGGAGGAGCCTCGAGGCCAGCGGTGAGGTGACAAAAGCCGGCCGTGGCGCGCGGGGGAAGCGCTTTAATAAGCGTGATTCGCCACAAACAGGGACTCTCCGCCGGCGGCGCTGGCTCCAGAGGAACTGTATTTGCCCTGGCACGCTTGGCTGTTGGCCTGCCAGAGGAAAAAAAAAAAAAAAAACAGACCGGGACGGAGGTCAGCAACAATGGACGGCTATTTTTGACATTTGCGCCCAAGCGCCGACAGACACGCACCAGAGCTCTCTTGATGAACTCCTCCTGGCACGCCTTTCCGTTCTCCTGTTTGCCGCCCCAGGCCTTGAGCGCCGACGCCTGCAGGGCACGCCCGTACGAGAAGGTCAGGGCCCAGGGCCTGTGCAGGGGGCACTGGTTCATGGCGTTCAGGTTGACCGAGGCCTCCTCCTCGCTCTGACCGCCGGACAGGAAGGTGATGCCTGAGAGGGGAGAGTCAAACAGCCGTTTCAGTCGCGGCGGCGGCCGGGGAAGACGCACCCGTGTCAGACCCCGCAAATGTGTTTGCAACAGAGTCGCACTCAAAACGTTTCGAGGTCCAGGGAAGCCATTTTTCAAGACACGGCGACCCTGTGCACCCTGATGTGAAAAAGGGTGAGGTTGCGAGAACAACGGAGAGAACGAAGTCCTCGACACAACCCAAAAAGTCATCCTCACACACGTTTTGGCGGGAGGAAAAGTACAACGGTCACCTCGAGAGGAGAATAAAGTCGGGAATAAATAAAAGCGGGGTTGATTCTCCTCACGTTGCGCCTTTTCCGCTCGAAAACGAGGCCTTCGTTGGAAGCGCAAATACCCTCATGTCCCGCAAAAGCACAGGAAAGTGGAGGCGTTTGTCGCACCGGGGACGGCGGGGGGCACGGTGCGGCGCAGGGCGGTCACGGTGGCCATGGCGATCTCCTGGTTGCTGAACTTCATGGAGCAGGAGTGGCCGGCGGTGACCATGTTGGGCTTGAGCAGAGTGCCCTCCAGGTAGACGTGGTGGTCGGACAGAGCCTTGTAAACGGCGGCCAGGACCTTCTCCGTCACATACTGGCAGCGCTTCAGGTCGTGGTCGCCGTCGGGGAGGATCTCGGGCTCCACGATGGGCACGATGCCGTGCTGAGGAAGGCGGCAGAAGACGGCGGCGTTAAAGCGCCCGCTCGTTGATGTACGACGGACGGGGCCCGAACGGCCGCATCGGTTTGGACCCGAGCGGCCGCGGCATAACGACTCGGCGGAGCCAGGTCGGCCGTACCATTTGGCAGATGCTGGCATAGCGGGCCAGGACGTTGGCGTTCTCGATGATGGCCAGTCTCGAGGGAGTGGTGGGGGTGATCTTCAGCACGCAGCGCCATTTGGCAAAGTCGGCGCCGTCCTTCTTGTACTGGGCGCAGCGCTCGTACAGCCCATCCAGACCTGCACCGAAGGAAGAACAAAAATAAAAAAAGGGTCACGCCATGAGGTACCCCGCAAGTACAAACAACCCAACGCAACAATCAATCGCTTCTCGTTTCCGCACGCGAGTTGGCCCACTCCGGTTGGGGCTCACCCTGAGTGGTGGTCTCGCCGTTGGTTCCCGCCAGAGGGACCACCCCTTTGTCGACCTTGATGCCCACCACCATGCCTCTCTCCTTGAGGTGCTGGGGGAAGGGCACGCCGCCGTCGGTCTTCTGGTACATGGTCTCGTGGAAGAGGATGACGCCGCCGATGCAGGGGGCGGCGCGATCGTCGGCGGTGAACAGGAGCTGGCGGTACAGCCTCCGGTTCTCCTCCGTGTTCTCGGCGTTGATGCTCTGGAAGCGCTTGGCGACGCTACCTGCAGACGACCCGATGGACGAATGGCGATTGGGATTTCTGGAGGGGAGTTTCAGTTTCATTTTCTGCCTATCGCGCTGCCAAGTTCGCTCATGGTTTTACGATATTTACTCGTGGCTCAAAGACCTTTGGAAAAGACTTGGATCGAAGAAAACGCGTTGACACTTATTTGCGTCCGATTCCAAAGAAAATACCTGCGCAGGGTGTATAAGAGCGAGACGGTCATCTTTACCGGTAGACTCGTCGGCGGCGAGGATTCCCTTGCCGGGAGCGACGATCTTGTGAGCGATATCGCTGAGCTCCTTCTTCTGCTCAGGAGTGAGGAAGGGGTATGCGTGAGGCATCTTGACTCTGGTCAGGGAGAGACAGACAGAGCAGATTCAAATGCTGAGGGACCGCCCACGACTCGCAGCGCATCCTCGTCGAGGCGCAAGATATCCTGCCCGGGCGACAAACGGCACTCGGCTTGTTCATTCTTCTGGCAGCCCGCAGCCCCCCACCCCCACCCCACCTCGCACATGCGCGACGACCACGAGCAGGCCTCTGACCGATTGCATTTTCTTTCCCCGGAGCCGTGACCTTTCGTGCGCCTGCATGGAACGGCGGGCCCGGTCTGGCCTGGCTTCCCCCCGCCCCCCCGACACCACCACACTGGTCTAAATATAGACGGCGGCAGCGATGGGCGCACTCCGATTTAGCACCTGAGTGAGTGTGACACGACGCACGCCAGAGACCACGCATGCAACTGGAGGAGGGAAAACCATTGACTTGATAGACTTGAAGACAAGAAAGCAGCAACCAGGGTAGCGCGCGGTTGACGAAGGGCTTCTGTGAACGACTCATACACGGAAAATCTTGCACTAGAGTCATAGCTCACCCGCTCAATATTGGTGGTCGCCGCCGAAAACCGATTATATGCGCCTCACCACTAGCCTGCGTGCATGCGTTGGCACTTTTCAGCCAGATGCATAAAAGAGCCTGCGCAAATTCTGCTCACACACATTTGGCTTTGGAAGTGAGTACATGGGAGGTAATAAATGAGACGACGTGGCGAGTGGAACGCAAAAGTACGGGCGCAGCCAAGCTTGTTTGTAAAAACGGGCACAATACCTTTGAGGTGAGAAGGAGAGCTGGGAGAAGAACGAGGGAGGTAGAGAAGCGGCCTTCGTCTGCGACAGCCTCTGGGCCGGCTGCCCCTCGTATTTATCCTCCCGGCGTGACCCTTCACATTTCAGCTGCCGGGCTATAAAAAGAACAGGACGCAACCGGAGATGGCTCGTGACATTCAGCGCGTCTCGGGGTGGAGCGCGGCGGCGGCGGCGGTTGCTTGGGGGCAGGTGGCCAACACTCGGGTGAGGGCGAAACGGCACTGGAGGAAAGGAGCAAAAGGAAGGTCATATTGTGAACAAGGAGCTTCTCGGCATTTGGCTCAGACGACGGGGGACCCCCAGCCCCACTCAAACAGAACTGCCAGGCGTACGCCACGATCCCATCGAACAGCGATTCAACGGGTCCTGGGACTGCTACGCGGGCTCCCTCTAGTGGCATGAGAAAGAAGCGCCGTCACAGCAACGTAGTTGCGTTTCATCTTTCAAAAGGCTTTGTCATTGACGTTTATTTAGGTACCATTTTTAATGGCATTCATGTGCACTACATTTTAATCCAACCATTGTTTGAGCACATTTTATTTCAATGTTGGGTGTCAGCAGCTTCGAGTACTAAATAGACTTGACGTATTGTTTGAGTGTTCTCGTTTGCCCTTTCTTCACCTGACTTTTTCTTCAAGCCGGGTTGTTGAGCAGAGTTGATGATGTCACAATCCCATCAACGCTCTCAATGGGCCAAAAGCTTTGCGATTGGTCGAGGCCCGCCGCTCGATACCGCAAAGACACGCAAGCGGCAGACAAGCTTTGAGTACGTGTCGTCGACTGCGAGAGGCGCGGCGGCACCTCATTGACGAAGCGGCGAGCTCGCGTTACGTGCAAGACGCTGAACGTTCCTTTTGCAATCCTAACCCGCTTGCGGCAACGCGGAGCCAGCTGACCCTTGACCTTTACCCATCGTCCTTTCTCGGCGGGAAGAAGTCGGGGTCGGTCGGCTGGCGCGCACGGTAAAGGTCACGCTTGCGCCCCCATCCAGTTGAGGGAGCTTCAATCGGCCAGTCGCCGAGCAGAACGCTGCACGTGGGCGTGAAGATTTGCAACACTGATATGGCCGTTCTATTTGTTGCTTTTTTTTTTTTTAATTCTTTCCCCCCTATGACTTAAGAGTGACTTATGGCACCGGTCGCTGTGCTGACGCGTTACACGCTTCTACGGGCGGAAGAAAAAATACAATATTATATTGACGGCAGGGGTGGGGAAAAATGTGCACGCGCCTCACTTTCTCAGAAAAGACAGCAAGCCCTACTTGACAAAATGTCGCTGCGGTTTTGACCAGACAACGTGCGCAGCTCCGATTATTTCCCGGACAACCACCACAAGCCAATTTCCTCTCTGACATCGAATGGCATTTCACTTGACATTTTCCATTAGGTCAGCCCCTAGCGGACATTTGTTGCGGCCACCCCCCGTTTGAAGGACCCTTCACAGCCACAGATCAGGCATGAGCGCGATAACGAATCGTTGTGTCCTCAAATTCTGTGGTGGGGAGGGAGGGGAAAATAAACGGGGGGAAAAAAGTGGTCTGCTCGTCACCGCACATCATCGATGGGCCTACACGGGAGGTCCGCACCGTTTGAAATATCCGACTAAGTCACGAAGAAAGTGACGAGGGGGATATTGCCCAAGCATCTGCCCTATGCGCCGCTGGCGCAATGCGCAACTTCTCGTTCCCACAATAGAATGAGACCACGCAGAGGAAGTAAAAGCAAAAAGGAGAAACGAAGCGAGTCGTTTTGGTATATTTGGTGATGAATGAAACAATCATGAGTCAGTTTCAATCTTTTTCTGGCAGCGCTCCGTCAGCGAGATCAAACACTGTGAATGTTGAAAAAAACAAAACAAAAACAAGAGCGGAAGGGGCAGGTTGATTTCAGAGAGTTGTCACGAAGCAGGACGGGAGTGGCCGTGCGAGTTCCCCTTCGCGCCTCTTCTGGCGATGACGGCACGTTTTGGCTTTGACACCTTCCTGTCTTGCTGTTGCCTCGGAGCGCTTCAGTGCAGTCACACGATGGACTGGCTCACTTCGACGGCAATTTTCATGACGGGTAAGAGAAGTCTCTCCTTATTTGAATGCACAGAAACTTGCTGGCTGTTTTGAGATATATATCCCCCCCCCCCCTCTTATGGCACACACTGGTCTTGAGCTATTGGAAATGATGCGGAGACAACCAGCAGAAGTTGTTTCTTCGATGAGATGCAGATTCGAAACAATATCAATCCATCTCAAGTATTTGTCTCTCTCGCTATTGTATCTGTCAGACTGTGGTATCGATCTGTCATTGCTATCCATCCATCCATCCGTCCGTCCGTCCATGATTCTTAACTTTTCAACGGTGTCTCTTGCCGGTGGCAGGAGCCTTCACCACACCATATATGGAGCGACATGCCGCAACGACACAATTGGTTCTTGTTTTCTTCTCCGCAGTGTTGAAAAGTACACTTGGTTTCAATATTGACCCCGTGGCTTGGAAGACCTTGAGGAACCCCGCGGAAAGTTTCGGATACCAGATCGTGCAAAGACAAGCCAAGTGAGTGAAGGAATTGGATCCAAACGTCTTCTCCTTTGTGATGCGTTGACATCTCGCTCGTGCGGTCCGTCGGGTTGCTGCTCTTGTTGACTTATCGCCGTTGTTGCCGTCTTATCGATGCGTTTCCTATGTGCTGAGTCCTTTGGATTTATCGATTTCTTTTTCCAGTCATGTCATATTCACCTACAAGTACCTGCTTGTCATTGAGTCTTGAGGTTGGAGTTCCGCAGAAGCTCAAGTGGCTCATTCGCAAGAGGGCTGGCATGAAATAGCAGACATGCCGCTCCCTTTCCTGCAAAATAGACTTTTGTTCCCAATTTGCTCTTGCCTGAAACTAGAAAAAAAAGAACTGAGAATGAATGGTTGTACTTGAACAGCTTGCTGGTCAGCGCACCCCTTGATCAGGATTCACAAGACAGAAGAGGGACAATCTGGAAATGCTCCACGGAGTCCTGCACCGCGCTGCCAATTTCAGGTGAGCGAATCCTGCAACGTGGGGCCATTAGATGTGAGAGCGCCATCACCGCTGCCTTCACATTTGGCTCTCAGCAAGTGTTGAGTTGGCCCGTGCTCTTGAAGTAGCTCTGAAATCATGACTCCCTTCCTCACAGTGCCCGATTTTGCCGTCAACATGTCTCTCGGTTTGACCATGACACTGGATCCGTCCACGGGAGCCGCCATGGTGAGTCGCGGCCATTTTGCACGTCAGTGCCTGTGTATTTGTCTTTTTTCCGCCCAATCGCGCCACTGATCCGATCCCCTCGCAGGCATGCGGTCCGACCATCCCCAAAGACTGTGGAAGCATCACCATGTACAACGGCGCGTGCTTGCAGATCGACCGTATGGATGGCGTCGGAGCTCCCCTGCCGCCTTCTCTGGACGGTGCTTGACTTTTTGCTCAAATGGCTCACGAGCATTTGGAAGGGGAGCCTCACTTGACTCATCCCTGTCTCTGACCAAAGCCGCCCCCTCGATAACACGGGCAAGCATCAATCTCCAACATGGCCGTTTGCAGACAAGCCTTCGCCACCTTCGACAATTGCGCTGCTGGCAAGAGCACTAGAAACAAGCCATCGGTAGCCACGGCTGCGTGGCTGATTGGCACTGGAGTTGCTCCGCCAAATGTTATCCGTTTCAAGTTTTCTTTTTGGGAAACCTGCTAAAATTATCAAAAAAAAAAAAAAAAAAAAGAAACAGCGATAATGTACCTGTTGAGCTAATTGCGCCTCACTGCCGAATCCTCTTTGGCCGTCTGAGGTCCCTTCGCGCTGTGATGTGCTCGTGCGGTGAATTTGATCAGGTGCCCTCTTCGTCCTGGAAAAGTTGAAGGCCGGATGTTGAAAAGGGGCAACGAAAGACCCCGCTCACGTTGGCTAAAAACAATTTGATCTTGATCAAGCCTTGCCTTCAAAACACTTTTGGCATGAAAGCCACCTCGCAAATGTTTGATCTTTGCCGAACGGCCTTTGAAGTCCTGTCCCTGCTCATGTACAAGCCATAAATGTTTACGACATCAACTCAAGGAGTGCGCTAAACGTGTTGGCTTTACGACGACAACACTTGAGCATTTTAACACACAGCGGCTACAGACGAGTACTCAATATATGAATGATTTACCTCACGAATCCAATGCCCAGTTGTTGGCAAACGAGGGAAGGTTTTTTTCCCCCCAACCCCGCTCCTGGACGGAGATATTCCAACGTAGGTTCAGCAAAGCTCCTGAAACCCAAGAAAACGAACCGGTCAGCGCGAGGCGGTTTGGATGCGTCGGCTATGATCGACGCCTTGTTCCGTCACGCCCCGCTGTCCTTGATCGGTTGTCTTTCTTTTGGTGCGGTTGTTTCTTGCAATTCCTATTTGAGGCACAAGAGGGTGCTACAGAGGGAGTCGTTGCGGCAAACCACAGATCATTCCACCAATGCATCCCGATGACAAAAGCCATTTTGGGGAAGCAAATAATGGAAATAAATTGTCGGGTGGACCCAGCCCCATTCGGATTCATTTGAAGACCAAACGTGGAGTGGAATGCTACGGTTTTTCAGTGTGATTCTAAACAAGCGTTGTTCTTTTTCTCGACAAGTGTGCAAAAATCAAGCTGACATCGCATTTCTCCTGGACGGCTCGGGGAGTGTGGCCGCGGAAAGTTTTAGACAAATGAAGACGTTTGTCAGTAATCTCATTGGCTCCTTTTTGGACAAAGATTCCCAGGTGAGAGACAGACGGTTTGGTTTTTTTGGGATGGATATGTTTTGTTTTCAGTGATGTCTTTTTTTTTTCTTCTCCTCTCCTCCCAAGTTTGCTGTCGTCCAATTCTCCAACAATCCCACCATCCATAATTATTTTTATAACTTCAACGTTAACAGCTGGAGAAATTATATTAATGGAATCAAACAGATCAGAGGAGGGACAAACACAGCCAGAGCCATCCAAAGCGTTGTGTAAGTTTGTTGTTGAGTGTTTCTCTCGATTAGAAAAGAATCTTTCTTGAAAAGTGCTATTTGTGTTGGTTACAGGGACCATGTATTTGTGGCAAGCAGAGGTTCCAGGCCCAATGTGAAGAAGATTCTAATCGTCATTACAGACGGAGAATCTGGCGACCATCACAACTTGCCGTCGGCGCTAACTGCAGCCGAAAGGAAAAACATCGGTCGATTTGCCATCGGAGTGAGTTGGATTTCACACGTGACGACCGTAAGTTCAAATGCTGCCATATTATTGACGTTTAATTTTTTTGGTAAGGTGGGCCGTGCGTTTAAGAATGAGAATGCGAAGCAGGAGCTGAACGCCATCGCATCTTCTCCCTCAGCAAAGCATGTCTTTCAAGTGGAGAACTTTGCCGCGCTCGAGGCAATACGGGAGACTTTGCAGGACAGCATCTTCGCTATTGAAGGTACTGACGGAAATTTTGCATCGTGGCATGTTTTGTTTTTTCCTTCCATTCCACGAGGGGGCGGCTATCTGTCCTCCGGATGATGCAATGTTGAAAGGACAAGATGCCACGTTGATGTCATTCCGGCAGGCTCGCAATCGAGCGGCGAGACCCTCAAACTGGAGATGGCTCAGCAGGGATTCAGCGCCGCCTACGTGCCCGGGGTACGACAAAGCCGCCCGCACGCGACGCTCAATCGCTTTGGGGCCTTTCCGACCATTTCCGCGATCCTTCCAGGGAATACAGATCGCGGCTGTCGGGGCCAACGAATGGAGAGGAGGCTTCCAAACGTACACCGACCAGGGAGCAAGCGCCTATTTGCCCATGAGCATTGCGCCGGACAGCTATCTCGGTACGAACGGGACAAGATTTTTGAAGCTGGATTCATTGCACCGCCGTTTAAATTGCTGGCAACGTTCTTTCGACTTGCTTTTCGCCGAGCAAAGTTCACGGTGTGACTCGATATGCACTTTAGATTTGGAGCTGTGTTTATTTCTCTTCACCACTTGGTACGAGCTATTAAGCAAGAGCAAAATAAACACGGCACCGTCTGCTGGATCCTCGTTTCAATTTCAGGCTATTCGCTAACAGTTGCCCAAACACGCAACGCGAGGTTGACGGTCGTCGGTGCTCCGAGGTATCTACACAGAGGAGTTGTGATGGTGATTTCCCAAAACAGGCTTGAACAAACGATAGACCCCTTCCAATGGCAGGTAAGCACTCGCAGCGTTCTCTGATGCCGGCAACAGAAGAAGAAAAAGAGTTCTGCTCACCGACGAATTGAAAAAAAATGATTCGATGACTTCAAAGACTGCGCACATGCACCGTATGACAACAGTCGCTGTTGTCGCTGCAGTATCAGATCGGGGAATATTTCGGAGCGGTGGTCTGCGCCATGGACGTGAACGGGGACGCAAGCACGGATGTCATCCTCATCTCTGCCCCCATGTTTGCGGAGGAGGATCGAGAGGGGAGGGTTTACGCTTGCACCATGATTGGTTTGGTGAGCCACCTCCACATGCTCTTATTTGGGACCCGCCCTCGAAAATCAATCCCAGCGATCCCGACTCATCTTCACGTATCGAGCAGAAAGTCGAGTGTCGGTTCGACTCTCCGGTCGTCCTCCGAGGAGTGCGGTCGCCCAGAGCGCGTTTTGGCTCCTCCCTCGCCATACTGCCCGACCTCAACTCGGACGGACTCAACGACTTGGCGGTCGGGGCGCCGTTGGAGGATGACGGACAAGGCGCCGTCTACGTATTTCATAGCGAGCGAACGGGGATCTCGACTACTTTCTCACAGGTGAATGACAAAGTCGATCAATGACTTGTTTTTCCCGGGCACTTGGTCAAAGTGCTGGCACTCTGTACGCCGTGTCTGTGGAATGATGACCAAAAAATAACAACGCTTTTCGTTGATCGCTTTTCACTTTTGCACTCAACTAGAGGATCGCTGGCTCAGAGTTGCGGTCGGGACTCAGGTTCTTCGGCATGTCCATTAGCCAGTCCTCTGCGGACCTCAGCGGGGACAACCTGCCCGACTTTGCTGTGGGTTCGAAAGGAACCGTCACCTTACTCAGGTACGGGATTCTCCTTTTGTCGCTTCGTTGTTTTACGGTCGCGGCTTCTGGGCAAGTCACACGCGATGACTCGCAGCATTTCCTAACTGTCGCAGCGTTGATTTTATGTGACGCGTTCAAGTGCACGCATGAGAGACCCCCACCCCCACCCCCATCGCCCCGAGCCGAGACTCGAAGCGGGGACATGATCACACTGCGAAGCAGACCTAGTAACCGTCGGCTCACCGGACTGCCCATACAGATCCAAGCCCATCGTCACGGTGGAAAGCATGCTGTCCTATGCACCGATACAGGTCTCGACGAAAAACGCCGACTGTAACAAGCCAAAGAACTTTGTGGCAGAGATCTGCTTTGTGATGATCGCACTCTCCAGCGTGCCAACAGGTGCCTAATTCTCCGGTCTCGGTTAGACCGCTTGCGTGCGCATCACGTTAACGTTTCGACTCCAAAATGTCACAGCCAAGGCCAGAGTTAATTACACTCTGACGCTGGATGCGACCCGCAAGGCGCCCAACAACCGAGGTTACATCAGTGAGGACAACAGAGAAAAAAGCGGGACCCGCATTCTGGATTTGGCAGCGGCACAATGTTTCAATGTCAACTTCTTCATCGAGGTGAGTTGTCGGACGGCGCCGACGGCTCGTTGAAGGCTCACCCGCCTCTCGCTCGTCTCTTGCTCACCGCGCCGGCGTCCGCAGCCCTGCCCGGAAGACGCCTTGAATCCGCTCTACAATGAGCTCAGATTCACTTTTGAAGGCTTGCCCGCCGCCGCCAACGCCCTGAGCCCCAGTCTGGCCGCCCAGGCCCAGACGGCCAACATTCATCCGGTGAGTCGCCTTGTCGCGATCGTGCCTTACCAGCTTTGCGGATCCCTTGCGCGGTTTTTTCACCCGTTGTCGGCTATCCCCAGTTGGCCTTTGAGATCAACTGCGGCCTCGACAAACAATGTGTGGATAACCTCCAGCTGGACTTCAATTTTAGCAGGTAAGACGCTCGTCGCACGTTGCGAGTTCTGCTTCTGCCATGCTGGAACCTCTCTCATGGCGGAGCAGATCGTCGGAGGTCCGAGTGGGCATTGACGAACTCTTGAACGTCACCGTATCTGTGGAGAACCTGGGGGAAGACGCGTACAACGCCCTCGTTGTTCTTACGTACCCGGCCGAGTTCTCCTTCAGGAAGTTTGCCGTCTTGCAGGTAGGCGTCGACATCAGCGGGACTTCTTCCGCTCCGGCTACCTGCGATTGTGGATTTTTCGTAAAATGGTGGTGCTTTAGCTTTGAGGAAGATTGTGGCGGTCCAATCCAAAGCGGCTTCTTCAGTTCTAAATTTTGAGTGTGGCGTAACTGTGGCTGTGCCTTTGGAGGGTGCGCTCACATCGGAGTTGTTGCTCTTGCGGTTGCCCGGCATGACTGCTGAACGGCCGTCGTCTCGCATCTGCCTGCTGGGGAAAGAGCAAACAGGCACAGCTCATTCTCCGCGAAGGCAGAGGCTCTCCTTCTTCAAAGAGATGGCTTCTTTGGGGCCCTCCTTGAACCCGGTGGTCTTTCGTCATCCCCGGCATTTGGACACCGGTGGCCCCTTCTTAAAATCTACAACTGAAGAAGCCTTTTAGATCAATGATCAAATGATCAACAAAGGGGAAGAGTCCGGTCGACTCTCTTCAACGTTTGAGACGGCCCACGACCCGGATGACTGGGAATCGACACAGATGCTAGCCTGGATTTCTTTTCTCCACAAAGGGCCGAATTGAGTGCAACTCCTTGGACAGCGAAAGTGGCCTATCTCGGGGAAAGACAGATTGCACCGTTGACAAGCCCATTCTCAGAAGCAACACATCGGTGAGTTCGGTGCCATGTAAAAATGCCGAGGCGACTTCGCGTTGCGCACCGCACGCCTTTCGAAATGATGACAACATGGATGAATGTAGCTTCCCCCGTTCTTCTAATGGCCGATCGTACTATCTGCGAGAACCATACGTGGCGGTATTCAAAATGCTCCAAATAAATCGTTCTTATCCGCTGACATTTCAGGCCGTCTTTGTGGTGTCGTACGGCATCGAAACCAACAGCCGACTGGACTCCAGAATTTCGGTCACAGCAAACGCAACAAGGTCGAGTTCCTCAACCCGTGCGCATGTTATATGTTGCGCAATTCAACTGTTGTCTCCCTTACAGCAGTAACCAGCGGCACTCGGCTTTAAGCCAACTTTACAAAGAGAAAGACATTGGCGTCAAGTACAGCATTTTTGTCACGATGGAAAGGTGCGTATTTGGACGGTCGTGACAATGGGAGAGGATTCATTGAGCGTACCACTCATCAGACATTTCTTTTCAGTTCCCTAAGCTACGTCAATTTCACCTTTGGAAAGAATGACGTGCAGAAAACGGTCGAGCAAACCGTTCTGGTACCGTAATGATCAAAGGGCTTTTTTTTTTTTGGGGGGGGGCTTTGAGTTAATTTCTTACTTGGTTTGTGTTAGGTTTCCAACAACGTCCGAGCCTTTCATGTCACAGTGGTGATCAGGGTGCCCGTGAAGCTTGGCGAAAAGGACATCTGGGCCAATCTGAGCTCTTTGCAGGTCGCACGTCGCATCGCTACTCCAAAGAGGGCTGTTTGCGCAGACCTTCACTTTCAAGGGTGAGCACTTTTGGTTGACGTGACATCAACTGTCTTCACTTCAGATTCCAGACTGTCAGTACAGCAACGACGAACAAGCCAATGTCTCCGATTGGCGTGGTCACCTGCAAAAAAATAAGATTTTGGTAAGACAAACGGCGCGACCCTTGATTTTGGGCAACCGGTTCGAATGGTGTCCTTGAATGTCCCGCAGGACTGCTCGGTGGCCACATGCAGGGTGTTCAAGTGTCCTCGCTTTATGGGAAGGCTGGAGGGCAAACGGTACAAAATATCAGCCAATATGAGTTCGGCTTGGATCCAGCAGGTAGTGCCTTAGCGTGCGGGGGGGGGGGGGGGGGTCAAGGCACGCAAAGCGCTTTTGTTGCACCGCCCATCTGTCTGCTCTGCTGCTCAAACAGATCGGACTCGACAGGGCCAAGTTCATCTTGACCACCACGGCCAGTCTGGAGTATGACGAGAACCAGTATATCTTCTTTTCGCCATCATCTAATAACGACCCTCCGGCACGCAAGGTAATTTTACGCCAAGAACGGAACGGCTCCGATGTATGGACGCAAATGCTATTGGGAATTTCAGATTGAGACAGAGGTGGAAGTGTACCCTCAACCGGACTTCACCAAAGAGATTGTTGGCGGTTCCTTAGGCGGGCTGGCTATCCTGGTTCTCCTCTCAGTTGTCCTTTATAAGGTGAGAAAATAAAGGCATGAAAAGAAATGGTTATCATCACACATAATAATATTCCAATCTTTTTGTATTCATAGGCTGGATTTTTCAAAAGTAAATACAAGGAAATGATTAACGATGCCGACGGTGCAGACACAGGCGGCCCGGTGCATGACGAGCGCGCACTCACGCAGTAGTAACAAAATTGCTGCCCTTTTTTTGTTTGTTTGTTTTTGGTTTTTTTTTTTTTGGGGGGGGGGGGGTTGTACAGGCTTTTGCTTGAAGCGGCCCAAAACACAGAGATCATTGGTCCTGTCGGCGATGCCCATACAACACGATCAAGAGAATTTCATGAGAACACACAGAATGACATTTGTACACTATTTTGTGTTGAAGAGCTGAAACAAATTGCTGCATTTCACTCCAATTGCCCCACGGGGATAAATAAAGTTTTCTGAATCTGAATCTGAATTTATATGACATCAAGAACATACGTGTTCAAACAAAGTCTTGAAAATATGTCGAGTATGTTTTTCATATGTTAAGGATGCATTTTATTTCATTGTTAAAATGAGTCACAATAACAATAAAAAAGTTAAAAGGGACTTGAATTACTTTGGCTTGACAACATGTTTCCACAAAGCAGTTTGGGACTCCAAAGGAGCCAAATTGTCTCGTAGCGCTTTTTTAGCACACTTGAAGCTCCAAGTCATGACCTGATCAGCGCATTAAGTGCTTTTGCGTGGCGACATTGTATTCTAAGAGCAGCAATGAAAAGTTTCAAGCTGCTCCATGACACACGCGTGAGGCCAGGTAGACGGAGGTCCAAGCCACAGAGAAGGAAAGGAACGAGCACCCATAGGAACTTGGAGCTCCTGCCGAGGAGGGAGCCGCAGGAGACGGCAGGTCGCCGACCGTTTCCTTCAAGAAGCATCCAAAACGCGCCATTTTGGAAAAGACCTGAATGTCGGCAAGGGGGGGTCGACCACTTGTTGCAACAACGGCTGCCAGGAACCAAGATGAGTCTGCCTTGCAGATCAGAGGGCCACCAACATCCCCCTACAAAGAGGATCACGCCAGGGAAGGGCATCATACATGCATCCAAACTTGCGTAAAAAACGTAAGTTCCCTGTTTTTTTTTACATAGTACACTTGATGGGGAAATAAGCTCATCAGAGGTAAAGCCCAGACGGGAGAGTTAGCAGAGAAAGCTGGAGAGGCCACGCTGAGCTGGTTTGGACATTTTCAGAGGAGCAACGTTTGCTCGAAATGGTGCCACCAGGTGGGAAGCAAAGAGGAGATGATGACTGCGGACAGGGAAGGCTTGCAGACAGTTGGACCGAGAGCAGAGGATGCTGAGGACAAGCCCGGCCCGAAGAGGAGTATTTGTTGCTGCGATCCCTGGATCGGGTTTAGCCCAAAGCGAAAGAAGGCCGGAAAAGGGGACAAAAGGAATGCACCTGTTGTAGGTCCAAAGAAGAGGTACAAATGTTCTCCCGATCGGAAGCGGCACTCCCGCAACTGACGACCACAGTTTCAAGTTCTCTTAGACCGGCAGATTTCTCAACGCCTGCAGAGAGGACACAAGCTTGCGTTGATATATTTTGGGCCATTTTGAGAGAATCCAAGCCCCGTACAAATTTTGCACGCCAACGGCGTCCTCACTTGGATCTTCGTTTGCCTGCCCCCAGCCAGCCGTCCAGCACCGGGTTCCGAAAGGGAAGGATACGGCACCGCTGATGTCCAAACACACAGGCTGGAGGTATTCATAGAAGCTGACGTCTTCCCTTAGCTGCAGCACGGCGACGTTGGAACCTTGCAGTTTGCTTACAGCAATATTGGCAATCGCTGAAAAGACTTGGAACTCCTCCACGCCGTTGACAAGTTTTTGTCCCAGATATGCGGTCCAGTCACTGGCATTTGGAGCGGGGCTGTACGCAGCATATATGGCCTTAGAACAAAAGCATTCGAGCGCAAACCCTCTGAATTTGAACAGATCGCGAAATGCGGCACCTCGGTTTTCAAGTCAAGTACGTCACTCAGAGAGTCCACTACTTTGCTCAAATGCAGTACATACTTGGAGAAGCACTCGGCAGAAGTGAGGACGAAGCTTGAAGAGATGAGAGTTCCCGCACAGGTGTACGCTCCGTTTTTGTGGAGACTGACGAGCCAAGGCCACGTTCCACCCGCGACCAATCCACGGTCACTTTTTACGCGATTGTTCAAAGGTGCAGTGCCGCAAACGTGACCTAAATGAGACAAACCAAGAGTGAATGAATGACACAGGTAGTGAGGAAAGACCACAGGTGTAGCATATACAGTAAAAGATGTTCACCGGTGGGACTTGGTAGTGTTGGGCTTGGCGTTTTTGAGATGGGATCCGGTTCTTCTGAAGGAGCAACCTCAGGAGGAGGTGGAGGGCAAGTGGAGTTGCTGTCAACGTCCAGCCCGCCGGAGTTGAACTGCACAAAGCCCGGCTCGTCCGAGCCGATGTGGGAGCTGATCCACGACTGGTAGCGGGACACTCTGGAGTAGACCCCGGGCAGATTGGGCCGAGCGCAGCCAAAGCCAAAACTGCCGATTCCAGACTGGATCCAGACACCATCCTGCTCGCTCACCATCGGACCTCCTGAGTTGCCCTGCCGGCATGCAGCGGAATCGTGTTACTTTTGAAACATGCAAAACCGCTTCCAGAGCCAAGGGGGAATGAGAATAAGTAGTTTACCCGACAAAAGTCTCTCCCTTGTTCCAGGACCCCCACACAGATCATATTGTCTGTGACCGAGCTGCCTCCGGTCAGGCAGTTACACTGTCTGTTTCCCAGAACCGGGACTTGCACTTCTCGGAGCCTTTTAGGCAAGGGGACGGACTCTACAAAGTACAGTGGGAGTAGATTAGACTCATCCGACAAAGGTCATCCTCGCGTCTTATTTGAGAAAATATGACTTTATTGTCCGTGACATGCCTTACCTCCTTCCTGAACTCTTCCCCAACCAGTGACCCAGCTGTCGGTACCATTGTTGAACACACTGCCATTGGCTGCCAGGCACACAGGTCTGATGTCATCGGTGAATGTGACTGCTGAGGAGAGCCTGAGAAGAGCGATGTCATTGTCATGGCTGGAGCGGTTGTGGTTCGGATGCAAAACGATGGTGGCGACAGTCTTGGTCACTTCGTTTGGGTTGCTTGCTAGCAGGTTCTGACGACCAAGGGAAACTTCCCATCCAAAGGTACTTGTGCTACAGCCAGAATGCCAAAGGTTAGCTGGCCAAAGCAGAAGAAATGCGTATGCATTCACATTAGGATGACCCACCTGGAGAAGCAGTGGGCGGCAGACATCACCCACTCTCTGTTAATGAGTGAACCGCCACAAACATGGTGACCACACGCCT